TACTCGCAAGTAAAGCACCTCACGACGTGCTTTACTCACAAGTAGGCCACACGGGCCTGCTCCTCCCTTGGCAGGCTCACGCTATCCGTCAGGCCTCATGGACAGCGTGAGCCAGCCAAGGGAGGCTGCCCCGGCGCTACATGCAGTCATGCCAGCCACATGACCTTGGAGGTGTCTATGGACAACGCCGGCTCTTTGACTTAGATATGCAGATGAGCACCACAGAGTCAGACACGACTGGACTTCATGTCAGAGGAAAACCTTTAACCAGGAAAATTGTGGAAGATCCAGGGTGGGAGAAAGAACTCTTGTCTGTTGGAGGTAGGTATGAATGTTTCAATTGGCCACCTTGATTGCCATTTCATAGCCTGACAGTTTTTAGGGAGAATCCTTTGTTGAGAGAGGATTAGCTGGCCCTGATTGTTTCTTGTCTGGAGTTCCCATGTGTTTGAGTGTTGTTCTTTATTTACAGTTATAATTTTAGAGTTTTTTAATACTGGTAGCCAGATTTTTGGTCAGACTAGAAATAGGAAGATTTCCCATTCTCTGCTCCTGGAATTACTGCCTAAAGAGGGCTAGAAAGAACCCCCTCAAAGGGCCCTTCCACACAGCAAAATAAGATATGTGCAATGTGCAAAAGAATTTTTTAATTGATTTTTTTTAAAACTATAGTCCGGCCCTCCATCCGTCTGAGAACAGTAAACTGGCCCCCGGCTTAAAAAGTTTGAGGACCCCTGCTTTAGCCTATAAAGCCCTAAATCAGTCTCTCAACCTTCCTAATGCCGCAACCCCTTAATACAGTTCCTCATGTTGTGGTGACCCCCAACCATAACATTATTTTTGTTGCTATTTGTAATGTAATGTAATCTGATATGAAGGATGTATTTTCATTCACTGGACCAAATTTAGCACAAATACCCGATACACCCAATTTCAAATACTGGAGAGGTTGATTTTGTCATTTGGGAGTTGTAGTTGCTGGAATCTATAGTCAAAGAGCATTCTGAACTCTAATGATGGAATCAGCTAGTTCTAAAAATGAATAGCACTTTAAGTTATATAAATGTTTAAAATAGTTCAATACCATCTTTAGAAGCTCAATATAGAAATAAAGCCACAAGACCATGTTCTGTTAAATAAAATATTTTATTAATAAGTTAAATCATAGAATTTCTAACTGTATATAAGGAATTCAAACACTATGTAATATTATTTTCCACAGAAATGAATGTGTGTGGGACATAGCTGAACAAATGACCCAATTGCACATAGACCTGCTGATGCCTAGATACATCAAATGCATAGTTTCAGCATCTGCTTAAAACGCATTAACCCTTGGACACTTGAGAAGACTAAAAAAATAACAATAATCTATAAAACCAGTGTTTAGACTAGGGGTCCTCAAACTTTTAAAACAGAGGACACCGCTTTTAACTTTGTATTATTATTATTAAACTTTATTTATACCCCGCCACCATCTCCCCTCAGGGACTTGGGGGTGGCTAACATGAGGCCAAGCCCAACAAATACAATAAATACTATAAAATACAAACAGCAGATAATAACTTAAATAAAATACAACAATAAAAGAGAAAAAATAACACAGGATAAAACACTGGGTATGAGGCAAGATGAAAAATTAAAAACAGAAAATTAAAAACAAAAAAAAATTGAACAAAGTGAGCTGGGCCAGATGTAAGAATAAAAACAGGGGACATTGGGTGAGATAGGAAAATGAAGTAGTTTATCTGGTGGGAGATACGAATGGGGCAAGCTATGGCGTTTAATTTACCCGCTAGCAGAGGTAAAGTGCATCAAGAGAACAAGTGTATGCTGGGACGGTCATGGTATGGGGATTTGTTGTTGCTTTATCGAAAGCAAAGTGGAACAGACAAGTTTTCAAGCTTTTCCTAAAGATTGACAAATTGGGTGCTTGCCTAACATTGTGTATTTTATTACTATTGTTTTCATGTGATCTGCTTTATTATCAAATGCTCTGTTATGTTTTTAATTGTTTTAGTCTATTGTTGTATTTTACGGCATTGAATGTTTGTCTTTTATGTTGTGAACCGCCCTGAGTCCCGAGGGGGAGGCAGGGCGGGATAGAAATATAGTTCATAGTTCCTCAGACCAGCCCACAGCCAGAAAAAAATAATCATATGTTAAAACAATTTTTTTAGCAAAACACGAAGAGTTCCATAACACAAAATAATTTAAGATACCCAAGATACCTAACTGACCGCCTCTCGGCCTATGAGCCCACGAGGACTTTGAGATCTTCCGGGGAGGCCCTGCTCTCGATCCCGCCTGCGTCACAGGCACAGCTGGCGGGGACGAGAGATAAGGCCTTCTCGGTGGTGGCCCCTCAGCTGTGGAACACCCTTCCCGTGGACATCAGGCTAGCTCCCTCCCTGTTGATATTCCGCAGGAAGTTAAAGACCTGGCTGGTTAAGAAGGCATTTGAACAAGAAGTGCAATGACTGGTAATTTGACCATAGGAATGGAACAACGGAAATGATATCGGATTGTGGGTTTGACGATGAGACGACTCGGAATGGCTTTTGTAGTAATGTTGATGTTTTGATGAGATGTTTTTTGATAATGATGAATTGTGGATTATTTTACACTATGTTTTGTATTTTGCACCTGTTTTTCTATGTTGTACACCGCAATGAGTCGCCCTTGGGCTGAGAATTGCGGTATATAAGCGAAGTAAATAAATAAATATGACTCATTCTATATTTTATATAGTCTTAACTAAACCAAATTTCTATTTTCATTACAAAAGAATACCATAACGCCTGTTAGAAACACTTGAAAACTGTGTCAGTACACTTTGACAGTAATCAGGATCTATCGATAAACTTCGGTGGACACTCAAGAGCGCAAGACCAGTCAATCTTTCTTGCCCCATTGTGCTTCTTACATATGCTTTCAAACTTTCACTTGTTGAAAACGACCTTTCATTTGTAGCTGTTGACACTGGCAATGTGGCACAAATCTGAAGAAGTTTCTTCACACTGGGAAAAACCTGTCCATCACAGACAAGATATGCTTCCAGAGCATTTGTTGGTCTTTCTGCAGGTGCAATCTTTTCCCATTTTCCACACCACAGGTCAGACTCATCCATCAGTGTGTCAGGATTTTGAAGGCATTCATTGTAAAGTTCTGTACACTTGTTCAAGCTGGATTTTAAACATCCACAATTAATAGGGAGGAGAAGTTGCAGTTCCTGAACTACTTCCCTGTGCCTTGTAAATCTTTCTTGAAGCTGATTGCAGAAAAAGTCCAGAAATGGGATGTACACATGTAGCCTATAATATTCTACTGGTGTTAGTGAATTGGCCTGCATATTGTTTTCACAACTCTGCCTTGAATAGATGCAAGGAATCGTAACTTTTTCACCCATTGACTCCACCACAGATTTTGCTGTGTCAAAGACCTCCTGAAATTTTTTCACAGATTTTGCGCGCATTTCCCTGGCTTCTTCTATGAGAAGGTCAACATATTGCAGACAATCAAAAATGTTGACATCTACTCTTTGTAATGCTTTGCTAAACTGGAGAGATAATGACAGAAACTTTCTTAAGATGTGTAAGGTTACTACAAATTCAGCATTCAGTACACCTAAAAGAAGGCTCCACGCTTCTGAAGAAGTTTCACTGTTGTATAGAGGACTCTCATTTAGTTCTTCAAGTGTTCTCACCACCACACTGTACATTTCAACAAAACATAAAACTGCATCATGCCGCTCAACCCAACAGGTTTCACAAAGCGGCAACAGGTGTTTTGCTCTTGATTCAGGGAAACTGTCTTTTATATTTTTCTTCAGCAGTTCTAGTCTGATGGATGATGCTCTGAAGAAATTGCACACATATGATATTCTTCCTTGACAGTTTCTGACAAGTGGAATGCTGCAAGACTTTGCTAAGGCTAGATTTAGTGAGTGAGCACTGCAATGGGTGTGGACAGCCAATGGATACTTCTGTGATATTATTGCCTGTGCTCCACTAATATGATCACTCAGATTAGCAGCTCCATAACCCTGTCCACACAAGTATTTCAAGTTCAGCCCAATTTTTTCTAGTCTTTTCAATACAATGCCAGCAAGTCCTTCACCTGTCATATCACTTATCTTCACAAAGCCTATAAAGTCTTCTCTTATTCCTGCAGCTTCAACATCAACGTATCTTACCGAGAGCGATAACTGTACTGAGGTACTCACATCCAAAGTTTCATCTACCAAAACAGAGAAACACTGTGCTGTATTGCATCTTTCAACAATTTTTTGGACTATCTTGTCACCACAAATTTCTATTAGTTCATCCTGTATTTGAGGAGTAGTATATTGGGCATTCAGAGCTGCAGTTTCAAGAAGACTTTTCAGGTTATTGTCTCCTGATCTGGCACGAAATGTCAACAAGGCCCTGAAATTACCATCCTTGTCCAAAGGTTCATCACAGGTAATAGGTCCTGAATCATTGTTCCCTCTTAAAGCCAGTTCTTGTTGGCCACAAAGGACAATTGTTTCCACAATTGGCAGAAGTTTCTTTCTATTCTCTTCTGCTTTGTTCCCTTTAACTTGATGATGGGTTTCCTCAGTTTTCACCTGCAATCCAGGTGTACTTGTAATGGGGCCTTCATTAGTAACAGCTGCTGCAATGATTCCCAACCTGCTGCTGTCTTGATCTTCAATATTTGTTTTTTTCTTTTTTCCCATGAATTCAAAAAATTTTGATAGACGTTTAGGCATTTTCTGGAGTCATGTGGATGAAATTTCACAAAAACGTTTAGCATTGGAGATACAGCATTTTGAAAGATCTCTTACACACACACACACACACACACTAAATTGAAATATAAAAAAGCCAAGGTCTATGACGCACACATATTTTTAGAAACTACATAAAATACTTTTAATCTGGTACCTAGTTATTCAAAAATACTTGAGTTTAGGAGAAATTAAAGTATAAACTTTTAAAGCAAGCACAAATGATCAGTTATAATAATAATAATATCGTTATTTATATCTTGCCACCATCTCCCAAAAGGGACTTGGGGAGGCTTACATGGCAACCAAAGTTCAATACAGACACATATACATATATAAAGGTCTGCCCACAACAATGAGCAATACCAAATAACATAAAATAGCAACTAACAATATTTAACAGAGTACAACTTAAATTCAAATATACATAGTGAAAATGCAACAATAAATTAATCCTTGATCTTTCCCTTACCTAGTTCTCCCTTGCACCTTCCCTTATTTCCTTTTAATGTTATTTTGAAAATACTTTTGATAAAAATAAATTAGAAATAAATTAAAACTATTTATTTAAATAAATAAATTAAATTAGATATACAAACAAATAATGTTATATACCTGGAAACATTGTAAGTTGTATTAAAATTTAACTTTTTCTTATAGAGCTTAATAGGGAAGTCCGATTGGATATCAGTTTCGGTGGATTACATTATCATAGATTTAGCATGAGGATTTGGTTAACTAGTTAAAATTCATGAGTAAACCAGGGCTTTTTCAAAAAAAAAATCATGAAAGTTTGGGGGGGGGGGGCATGAAACCAGAAACACACACACACACCAGGCCTTATACTGTTGGGCGGATGGACAATAGTTTGAAAAAAACAATTCCTAATGACACTGCACATATCTTATTTATAGTGCAATTAAAAAACAGTGACCTAATAACTGGAATCCTGTTAGCCCCAAGTACAGTATTCATCAAACCAGTTGCTGAATAGACAAGTCCATTGAGTTACCTTGTATTTAGAGTTTCTCGATCCCTGAAAAAAAAGAGAAAATATTTTCATTATGTATGAGCATTCATTTATCAAAATTAAATTACACTATATTCAAGAATCTGGTACAGAATTTAAATGTGGTGTCCTCATCCAAAAGATTAATAATCACAGCAAATCATGATGTGAACAGCAAAGGGTTTAATCATTGGACACCAGGGACAAAGCAGCAGAAATTACTAAATGAAAGGCAAATACTTAGAAACCTACAAAAGTAACAAGTTGTGCTTTTTAAAGAATGATCACATATTAAAAGACCATACGCAGCAACTGTTATAATATGCTTTCATAAACAAATGCATGGTACTCACGAATAGAGATCTTTAAAAACAAAAACCAGGATTTATTTTGAAGAAAATTTAATAAAATCATACCTAAAGATGTTTGGGATTCCCACGTTCGAGGTGTCTTGTTCATGGAAAAATTACTTCATCTGAAAATAGAGAAGATAGAATCAGAATTGGAAAAGACTTCGTGGGCCATCCAGTCCAACCCCCTGCCAAGAACAGGAAAATCGGATCCAAAGCACCCCCATCAGATGGCCATCCAGCCTCTGTTCAAAAGCCTCCAAAGGAGGAGCTTCCAACATACTCTGGGGCAGAGAGGCCCATGCTGAACAGCTCTCACTCAGGAAGTTTTCCCTAATGTTTGGTTGGATTTTCTTTTTCTGTAATTTGAAACCATTGTTCAATTGCACCCTAGTCTCCAGTGCAACAGAAAACAAGCTTGCTCCCACCTCCCTATGACTTCCACTTACATCTTTATCCATGGCATTTGTTCCTGTTGAACTTCATTCTGTTAGTTTTGGCCCATCTCTCTAATCTGTTAAGATCATTTTGAATTCTGCTCATGTCTTCTGGGGATATTCGCTATCCCAATTTAGTGTCATTTGCAACATGATCATGCCTTCTAACCCTCATCTAAGTCATTAATAAAGATGTTTAACAGAAAAAGGCCCAGGACAGAACCCTGCTTATGCCACTCCACTTATCACTTCTTTCCAGGATGAAGAGGAAGCACTGGTGAGCACCCTCTGGGTTCGTTCGCTTAACCAATTACAGATCCACCTAACCGTAGTTTTGCCTAGCCCACATTTAACTAGTTTCTTTGCCAGAAGGTCATGGGGACCTCATTGAAAGCATAACTGAAATCCATATATGATACATAGTCTAAAATACTTAGCCTCCTGCCAATTCAAAACATTAGACATAAAAATACATATGTATAAGATGGAATTGAGGTAGCTAAAAAATAAAAAAAAATTACCAGGCAAGGGCAGCTGTTAGGAATTGTGGGAGTTGAAGTTCAAAACACCTGGAGGGCCAAAGTTTGCCTATGCCTGCCTTATACATATGTTTTACTGTATCATTGTGCTCCAGTCAGCCTGGAACTACAAGAGATTAAATGTTATGCAATGACCAGCCAAGAAAACATGTTTAACAGAAGCTCCAGCTGTCCTTAATATGACTGGTGTAGATCATTAAAAACTCATTGCATTACTTGTAACGGAATTATTGGGTAGTAGGTAAAGGTTTTCCCCTTGACATTAAGTCCAGTCGTGCCTGACTCTGAGGGGTGGTGCTCATCTCCATTTCTAAGCCAAAGAGCCAGCGTTGTCCATAGACACCTCCAAGGTTATGTGGCCAGCATGACTGCATGGAGCGCTATTATCTTCCCACCGGAGTGGTACTTATTAATCTACTCACATTTACATGTTTTCAAACTGCTAGGTTGGCAGAAGCTGGGGCTAAGAGCAGGAGCTCACACTGCTCTCCTGATTCAAATCTGCAACCTTTTGATCAGCAAGTTCAGCAGCTAAGTGGTTTAACCCACTGCGGCTCCCCGGGTAGTAACCAAGCCATTTGTTTCTATGAGCAAATCTAAAATCAATTTATACTTATTTTTATCTTTCTGGAATTATGCAAAACAGCTCACATACATACACAATATATTATTTCTCAGTCTTGACTTTGATTTCTTTCTAACATAATAATAACTATCTATCTATTACAAGGAATAATGATCATAGTGAGTTAGGAAAACCCCCAAAAGAAAACAAACCTCATGTTACCGAGCTCAGGCATCCTATCTATATAAGAGATTGATAGATCGATGGTTAGATAGGTGGATGGATAGAATTATAGAGTTGGAAGAGACCTCATGGGCCATCCAGTCCAACCCCCTGAAAAGAAGCAGAAAAACTGCATTCAAGGCACCCCAGAGAGATGGCCATCCAGCCTCTGTTTAAAAGCTTCCAAAGAAGCAGCCTCCACCACACTCCAAGGCAGAGAACGGATGGATGGATATAGATTAGATTAGATTAGGTAGACATCTCTCTATCTGGAGCCCGCTCCCTCCTGATCGTCCTCTCTCCAGGAAGGAAGGCAGCAAAAGGACGTCCGAGCAGAGAAGCGCCTCTCAGCAAACCTCGGTTCTAACTTTGCCGCTTCCTCATTGGCTTAAATGAAGTATTGATTTTGATTGGCTAATGTCCTATCCAAGACCCGACCAATGAAAATGGACGTACAGTGGGAGAGAGCCAATCAGAAACAGGCTTAGAAAAAAAGGCGTCCAACTGAGAAGCGCAGTTTGATTGGCTCTCATTCGCGGCTCTTTTTTGGGTCATCGCGAGAGCGGGTGGGGACAGGATTGGCGCGAAAACCCTCCCGCTTTCTCGTCTCCTATTGGTCAGTGAACGTGGCAGAAGGGAGGGGCTTAGGGTAGTTCTATCGAAGGAAAACTGGAATGATCCAAAAGGAGAAAAAAAAAGGGGGGGGGAGACAAATGGACGAAACCAACTCCCTTCCTTGGAAAGGGACGGTCATTGAATGGGATGACACGTGTTAATTATTATTGGCAGTTTTTTTCGCACTTGTGTAGGGTTTTTTTTTCTTGTTGCAAGAATTGTACCTGATTTGATTCTATCCCACCTATTTCTGTTTGTTTCATTTCTAATATTCCATGCCCCTTTATATTAAGGTGCTAAAGTGGTAAAGGTTTGGTCTCTGATATTAGTTTCATATAAAGGAAATAATAATGATAATAATAATAATAATGTATTGTCGAAGGCTTTCATGGCTGGAATCACTGGGTTGTTGTAGGTTTTTCCGGGCTATATGGCCATGGTATATAAGCATTCTCTCCTGACGTTTCGCCTGCATCTATGGCAAGCATCCTCAGAGGTAATGAGGATGCTTGCCATAGATGCAGGCGAAACGTCAGGAGAGAATGCCTCTAGAACATGGCCATATAGCCTGGAAAAACCTACAACAATCCAATAATAAATAAATAAATAATACTAAAGTCAACATCGACACCAAAATACAACACCTCCTGAGCTCTGCGAGTGCAGCATTTTTCCGAATGAAGCAGAGAGTGTTTGAGGACCGGGACATCCGTAGGGATACCAAGGTGCTTGTTTATAAAGCTATTGTCCTCCCAACCCTGCTATACGCCTACGAAACGTGGACTGTCTACAGACGTCACATGCCACTCCTGGAATGATTCCATCAGCTGCCTCCGGAAAATTCTGCAAATCTCTTGGGAAGACAAGCGGACAAACGTCAGCGTGCTGGAAGAAGCAAAGACCACCAGCATTGAAGTGATGGTTCTCCGCCATCAACTCCGCTGGACCAGCCACGTTGTTCAGATGCCCGACCACCGTCTCCCAAAGCTGTTGCTCTACTCCAAACTCAAGAACGGAAAACGGATTGTTGGAGAACAGGAAAAGAGATTTAAAGATGGCTTCAAAGCCAACCTTAAAAACTGTGGCATAGACACCGAGAACTGGGAAGCCCTGGCCCTTGAGTGCTCCAGTTGGCGGTCAGCTGTGACCAGCAGTGCTGCAGAATTTGAAGAGGCACGAGTGGAGGGTGCTCTTTCTCTATTTCCAAGCTGAGGAGCCTGCCTCCGTAGACACCTCCTGATTGTGTGGCCAGCATGGCTGCTTGGAGCATCATGTTGCCTTTTCCCACCAAAGCAGTACCTATTGATCTACTCACATTTTGCATGTTTTCGAACTCCTAGGTTGGCTAACAGCAGAAGCTCTCCCCGTCTCATGGATTCGAACTGCCGACCTTCAGGTCAGCAGTTCAGCAGCACAATGGTTTAACCCATTGCGCCACTGCGGCCCCTATGATAGCAGTCCCACTGATATAATTCCAGGTGACACTGGTTATCATCCCTTTCAATCAACTCAATCAAATAGTATTTGCCAATTTATTCTAAGTTTAGTGCATGCAAGATAATAAAACAACCCCAAAACACTAGAAGCCACAGATCCACTACAGTTCGGCCTACATTCTGCTTGATACAAAAGGACAGGTCCATGTCCTGGAAGCACACTATATATGGAGTTGCTTCAGTTATGTGTGCAGTTATACTCATGAATAGGGAATAGAAAGCTGTGTGCAAAAATATTGCAGGAAAAGGTGTCCTTTTAAAAGGAATCTGAAGGCTGTATGTGTTTTGAAGGAAACATATCCTTTGGCCCCTTCTACACTGTCATATAATCCAGATTATCAAAGCAGATAACCCACATTATGGATATGAGTCTACACTGTCATATAATCCAGTTCAAAGCAGATCATATAGATTTTATATGGCAGTGTAGAAGGGACCTCTGATAAGTCATTCTGGGAAGCAGATCAAAGTACAGTAGACTCTCAATTAACTGGCACCCCTGGGGATTGGTCGGTGTTGGATAAATGTAGTTTCTGGTTGCTTGAGAGTTACTATTAAAATAGGCCTCATTAATACTCCTCCATATACTATGCAATGTCATTGTATTGACTTGAAATACAGTAATTAAAAGCAAATATAATGTAACAGTTTTATTGTATCACAGTTTTGTGAATACAGTATTATTTATTTTATATTCTTTGCTTTTTGTTTTTAAGCATTCGACATCTAGATGTATAAGGGCAGGATTGCAGTAATCTAGACCAGTGGTCTTTTTGGACTTCATCTCTGAGAATTCCTGACAGTTGGCCAAGATGGCTGGAGCTTCTGGGATCTGAAGTCCCAAATGTCTGGAAGGCCACTAGTTTAGAAAATAGATTACATGAGTATGGGCCAGTTTTGGTGAAGGGCCAAAAAGGCTGTAGAAATAACAAGTGTCCTTCAGTGAACAAAGTATATGGGGACAGAAGGTTTGGAAGGCCCAATGAGAAAGGAGGTCTTTAATCTACTTATTAGCATTATGGTAGCTCTCAGTTAGCAAGTCCCATCTGTCAGAAGGTTTGAGAGATCAAACTGAGTAAGTTCAGCCTTTATTTTATTCAAAAATGATATTCAAGGACTGGGAAATGGGACCTGCAAACTGATAACTATAATAGAACTGTAGAATATAGTCCCACTCCTTGCCATGCTGGAACACAATCAAATCGCTCCTGACAGATGACCATCCAGCTATTGCTGGACTGGGTTGTGGAGCAGCTGGTTGGGAGTCAGCTGCATTAAAATCACTACTGACCGAGAGGTCATGAGTTCAAAGCCAGCCCAATCAGAGTGAGCTTCTGGCCATTTGTCTAGCTTGCTGTTGACCTTTGCAACCTGAAAAACAGTTGCATCTGTCAAGTAGGAAATTTAGGTATTGCTTATGCAGGGAGGCTAATTTAACTAATTTACACCATAAAAATCTCCAGCAGCGGTGCAAAAGAATGAGGAAGTACTCCATTGGTGTCACAAGTAGATGGTGAAGCAACAGCTCCCCCGGTGGCCAGAATTCAAAAAACATACCCTCATGAAGCTGGAAAATTAAATAGCCTCTCTGTCTCTGTTTATATATGTTGTGTGTCTGTGGCATTGAATGTTTGCCATGTGTATGTGCATTGTGATCTGCCCTGAGTCTCCTATAGGGTGAGAAGGGCGGAATATAAATATTTAAATATTGTAAATAAATAAATAAAAACCTGCAGAGAAGGAGACACGGCTCTTACCGTCAGGAAGCTCTTCATAATGTTTAGGTGGAATCTCTTTTCTTTGCAGTTTGAAACCATAGCTCCATTCTGTTCTAGTCTCCAGAGCAGCAGAAAACAAGCATGTCTTCTCATCAGTTCCGAATATTTAAACATGGCATCATAGAATCATAGAGTTGGAAGAGACTTCATAAGCCATCCAGTCCAACCCCTGCCAAGAAGCAGGAAAATAGTACTCAAAGCACCCCTGACAGATGGCCATTCAGCCTCTGCTTAAAAGCCTCCAAAGAAGGAGCTTCCACTACACTCTTGAGCAGAGAGTTCCACTGCTGAACAGCTCTCACAGTCAGGAAGTTCTTCCTAATGTTCAGGTGGGATATCCTTTCCTGTAGTTTCATGTTCCCCCTTCTCAAGTTAAACATACTCAGTTGGCAAAGCCATTCCGCAGAGGGCTTAGCTTCCAAACCAAACCAAGATGTGGATAAGATTTGACAGTTTAGTATTCCTAATTAATAAAGAAAAATGTGAAAGAATTCCACTTGTACATAATAGTATAAACATTTTATTTTTCCTTGTGATTTATCTGACATTTGTTCTCTTTTTACAATATAGAAAAAGTGTCCTCTTTGAATAGTCTAGTAAATATAAATTTAACTTTATTTAGATGTAAACCGGAACTAGAAAATAAATCCCCAATACTGCTCCCCTTTCAAAATCTGCTGACATTAAATATGATACAAAAAGTTTCAGCCTCAGCACCTGCCAGTCGTTTCCACAGGGGCTTCGGCAGAATACTGCAAAATTCCAAAGAAGTGGAGACAATCGTGCTGCAGGTGTGCTCCTCCATACCTTTTCTCCCTGTATCTCCTGAGAAGTTGACTATTTTTACCAGCTTATTGAGCAATTTAATACAAAGGACTAAGCTTTTAGTTTTAATTTTGTTAAAAACCCCAACACCAAACCCACATGAGGTGAAAGAAGGGAAGAACCGAGCTAAGTACAAGACAGAGCCTGTTTTAAGAGACAGAAAACTAGATCTTTGATTGCACCTTTTTTTTCAAATCTTTTACACATAGTTCCCATCATACATAATCTACAACTGGAATCCCAACTTCACACACTTATATAAATAGTTACACATCACAAAAAAGGTGCAAATAAGTTCAAATAAGACAGACTATGTACAAAATTAAACACCAATTTAATTCTAGTCCAAAGGATGCATATTCTTTTAAAAAATAACTTGATCAAATATTACTTTATCCACTTACACTAATTTACATTTATACAAATCTCTCATCTTACAGATGCTTATGTAATTAGCAAAAGGCGAGTTCTCACCATGTTCTCTGAAAGATAGCACATTTTTTTTCTAATGAAGAGCACTACTTGCTAAACATTCTGCAAAAATGGACATCTTCCTTTTCGGGAGTTGTGTGTGTGAGTCATTATTGTGCAATGCATGCACAGGTACATAATAGAATACATATGTACAGTTGTATTGTGAAAAAGTCCCTTTTAAAGAATTGCAGCATAATAATTACAGAGCATATTAAGATGGCGAGGAAGTGCTTTGCAATTCAAACACAGAATTTAAAACCAAATGTGTTGAATACTTTGCCATGCTAGAAAAGCATGCAGTTGTGTTTATAACATTTTAATAGCATTTGTCACAAATATTCTCGCTTCTAAGCATCTCCATTCAAAAAATGCAATTTAATCCTTTTTTCTATTTTCACCAAGTAATCTTTAGGTCTAGTTTTTTTAAAATACAGTGCAAAGCTAACATACTGCACTACTTCATTATATTCTAAAGTATCAGTCGAATTGAAGCATATCAAAAGTACACATGGCTTGTGGTTAGTTTGAGTACAGATAATTTGAGCAACTTGGGTGAATTCTTCCTAGGACTTTGCTCTCTGTTAAAAAGCCTGAAACACCCACATTTCTATGATAGATCTCTTCCTGCTATTTGAGAAGATGTGGTTTTAGGTAATTTGTAAACAGACAAATCCACGGTCACATTATCACAATCCAACAAATGCTCTTTAAGTACACAGAAATCCACGGTCTCGAATGAACTAGGATGGACTAGTACCATCTAATGATCTGTGTTTTTATTCTAGCCAAATCTATACATAACTATTACAGATACAAATGCACATCTCATCCTTAGAGAACCGCGCCCCCAACAGCATTAAGATACGCATGAAAACAATCCTTGACTCATGTTAATGCATTCCCACTGATTTTACGATCCTACAAGTCACTTTTAGTGTACAAAGGAGATCCCTTCAATGCCATAAATTGGATGGCCTCCTTTCAAAATGAGCTTAATATGGAATCTAATTTAGAAGAGAAGACTGACACTTAGTGGGCAAACTATCAGTTTCATCCCAGTCAGTAGTTAGAGGTAATTATGCATTGGAAGTACATAAAGACAATTTTAAGATGATATACAGTACTGTTACTGTAACTGGAGTCATACTGCCATAATAGAACATATGTGGATGATCAGGAACTTACACAGAATTTGTTTCCTGAATGGTGGCTAGGATCAAGATAAATTTGCCTCCGGTCCTTCAGAGGGCTGAAGGGTGTTTTGAGTCATGTTAAAAATTCTCTTAGTTACATTAAAATTTGTCCAAAACCAAATGAATGCAGTTTATTAAAATTTGGACTGTGTACTACAGTGATATATTACTTTTTTAAAAAAATTACCAAAAATGTTTTACGGCAATCTGAAGATAGGACACACCTTTTGACCTTGATTTTCATATATCTGTATATATTTCCAAAGCGAGCTACATTAATGTGCTACTCTTAAGTCTTCCACTGAAGTCAGAACTGCAACCAACAAGGCAGATTTGCATCTCTTTCTAAGTCGCTTTTCTACAAATATTTCTTTCTATTTACTTTTGTTCACCACCAACTTGTCCAGGGACTATCAATGTGCTCTTGTGTTGCTGAGTGAAGACACTAGCAACATGTCTCCAAGATTCACCGGTCGTTTCAAAGCAAGTGTGCCCAAGAGGTGTTTCTAATAGACTTGGCAGTGTCTGTCCCCCCTCCCTCTATACAAAATTGAATACTATACATGTCAAATAATAAGTTAAAGAGTTAACAGCAAAAGAGGGGGGAAGCCTTCGCAACTCTGCACAGTCCTGTATAGTTTAGAGGGCGAGGAAAAAATATATACACATTGCAGAGGGAAAAAAAATATACACATTGCAGATGTTAAGTAGAAGAAAGTTAAGCTACAATGGTACTCGTCATTACAAAGCTCTATATCAACATACGCCAACGAAAACCAAGCAGCACCGAGTTAAGAATGAAGACGGCTGCTGAGAACAAAGTGTCCACGTGCCTTTTAGTGTCCTGTTTAGACTTCAGCTCCTTTTCAAGAGTCAGCAGTTCATGGCACAAGGGTCACTTTTAGACTTCCCTGCTGAGTTAATGATCCTCATCAGGCAACGCCCAAACTCCTCCAGAATAATCCGTTCTGCTGCCGCCTTTGACTTGCCCGCCTTCTCTGCCTGCTCCGCCTGCGCAAGTAAGCAGTCACACGTCGCATCGGCAACCTCCTTCGTCACAAAGGTAAAGGGCAACCTGGCAAGAGAAGAACATGCTTGCATGTAACACGGTGGTAAAAACCAGGTTTATTTTAGAAGCCAGCTTTATTTCAGGCAAGTTTCACAATATGTGTCAAGAGCACGAGTCAGGGATACATCCTTTAGCATTTACACTGTGAAGTAATTATTATTTATCTATTTATTTACACTATTTATACCCTGTCTTTCTCAACCCCGAAGGGGACTCAAGGCGGCTTACATATAGGCATTTATTCAATGCCATAAAGCAACATACAATTATAATTTAACATATAATTATAATTTAAACTAGCCATCCCCTGCCACACATTGCTGTGGCCCAGTCTGTGTATATGTGTTTTGTGTGTGTGTATGTGTGTGTATATATTTGTGTATATGTGTATATATGTGCGTTTGCACATGCGTTGTAATTTTTTTGGCTTTTTAAGACTCTTCTGCTGTGTTTTTCAGAGTTTTTATGATTGACGGTCACTCACTGGCCTGATAGATATGTTGTGTCCAAATTTGGTGTCAATTTGCCTAGTGGTTTTTGAGTTATGTTAATCCCACAAACTATCATTACATTTTTATTTATATAGATTAATTAATGCATATTAAACATTTCAAAACATCACAATCAATATTAAAAATCACGCCAACCATAATCGTAGTCTAGGGCCATTCCAATAGTTATTGTACATATTCCATATCTATTATTGCACTGCAACTATTCTCCGAAGGCTTGGTCCCAAAGCCACGTTTTTACTTTCCTTCTGAAGGCCAGGAGGGAGGGGGGTGAGTTAATGTCATTGTGGAGGGAGTTCTACATCCAAGGGGCCACCACTGAGAAGGCCCTGTCCCTCGTCCCCACCTGCAAAGAAGGTAGGACTGAGAACAGGGCTTTTCCAGACGATCTTAATCCCTGAGGTGATTCATAGTTCGGACAGGTAAGCTGGGCTGGAACTGTTTAGGGCAGTGGTTCTCAACCTGTGGGCCCCCAGGTGTTTTGGCCTACAACTCCCAGAAATCCCAGTCAGTTTACCAGCTATTAGGATTTCTGGGAGCTGAGGGCCAAAACATCTGGGGACGCACAGGTTGAGAACTGGTTTAGGGCTTTATAGGCTAAAGCCAGCATTTTGAATTGTGCTCGGTAGCAGACTGGCTGCCAGTGAAGCTGACAGGAGAGATGACACAACAGGAGGGATGTACACCCTATTTCCTCTCTGAGTAATGAAACTGGTCCTCCTGCGGCTTTGACTTTTGCAGATTTAGTTGAGTAAAATGTTATCTCTAGGAATCTCTTGGTCCTTCAATATGACTCTAAGGTTGCACTGAAATGTGAATGTAAAGTCCTGCTTGCATGAGTTAGAGATTCCTAGCAAGAAAACCACTCAGCATGGCCACACAGTCATGCTGGAGAACTGAGAAATTCATAGAGAGGTGTTCTCTCAGGTAAACAAATAATTGCATTATTATTGTTGTTGTTTCTATCCCACCTTTCTTTCCATAGGGACTCAAGGTGGCTAACAACAACAAGTGGTTGATGGTAGTTTTTTCATATGTGGTAGACATGTAAGAAAGCCCAAGAATATTGGAAGAACATTCATGAAGAAACACGAAAAATATTGGGAATTTCATTCCCCCAAAAAACACGGAGTGTTATCTACTAAATATTACTGATTTGGACGTTACCCTGGATCTAAACAAAGACATTTTATTTACTTATATAGTAATCACTGCAAGGATAATATATGCGAAGATTTGGAAAATGGATAGAATACTGGAGGTAGAGGACTGGATAAATAAGATTCAAAAAATTAAAGACATGGACAAACTAACTTTTCTTTTGAAAAAAAGTTTGGGAAATCCAATAAGAGAGACAGACTGGTCATTTTTTGAAAAATATTTAAAAGAAAAGAGGGAGAAAAATAATAATTGACAAATATATCCCTGTAAGAGATTTATGATAGAGATATATGAAATATTTGGAAATGCCTCTTTTCGGTCGTGTAAAATAACAATATTCCCTGAGAAGGAAATAGAAGAGACAAAAATAATTGAATAAGAAAATTACACATTATAGGCAGAGACACAGAATGGAAGTCAACAAGCATATTTTTTTCTTTCCCCCCCCCCCTCTCTTTTTTATACGTAAGTTTCCTACTTTTCTAAAATCCAATGTTCTCCCACTTTCCCTGTAAATGTTCACTACCTGTTTTATATTTTTCTTTTTTTGGTTGTTGTTTTATATATACCTATGTGAATAATCTAATAAAAATTACTTAAAAAACAACAACATGACACGAGCCAATAAAATTTAAAAAAACAGAAAACACAAAAATTAAAACGCAATTAAATATTTTTGTCATGAATACAATTTAAAATACAGTTAAAATATAATTAAAATCACATTTTGAAGTAAATTCCCCCCCAAAATCACACCCACAACCACACCAGCAGCGTGCCCCCATCCTCCCCAGTCTGGGAGCAGCCACCGAAAATACCCTCTCCTTTGTTCCCACCAAGAATGCATGAGCAAGTGGTGAGACAGAGAGAAGACCCTTCCCAGTTGTTCGTAGATTTCTACCAGGTTCACAGAGAGATACGGTCCTTTGGATAACATGGACCTAAACAGTGTCTCTCTATTTTATTTTTTATTTTTATTTTCATGGGGAACCTGTACTGATTAACCTCAGGACTGACTGTAACATTTAAGAAACCGCACAAAGCCAACAAATTGGATATGGACAGACCTTCCCCCACCACTGGTGAGTACTGGTGCTGGCCTTGTCAGCAGGTCTGAAATCTGCGAGGATAGCTTTGTTTTTGCAGCAGTTTGTTGCTGGACTCGTACTTCTGCAGCGTCGGCTAAATGCATCAATGTCTTCCGCTCTGGACTTTCCTCAAAGTTCTTGCAGCCAATGCATTTGCAGATTGAAGAACACATAATCTTCGCCTAGAAGAATATTATACATTTTAAATATAATGTTGTATTTGATTCAGTAGTCAAAATTAGTGGCTGTTTAAGATACCTTTCAGTGAAACCAGCCTTTTAAATCCAAACTAACAATCTATATAAATAAAAATGTAATGTTCGTTTGTGGGATTAACATAACTCAAAAACCACTGGGCGAATTGACACCAAATTTGGACACAATACATGCATAAGGCCAACGAGTGACCGTCACTCATAAAAACACTGAAAAACACAGCAGAAGAGATTTAAAAAGCCAAAAAATAAAAATTGCATTACAATTCATGCGCAAAACCACATATAAACATATACACAAATATATACACATATTTATTTATTTACAGTATTTATATTCCGCCCTTCTCACCCCGCAGGGGACTCAGGACAGATTACAATGTACATATACATGGCAAACATTCAATGCCATAGACACACAACCTATATAGACAGACACACAGAGGCTATTTAACTTTCCAGCCTTCATGAGGGTATTCTGGCCACCAGGGGAGTTGTCACTTCACCGTCCATTTGTGACACTGATGAAGTACTTCCTCGTTCTTTGCATGCTTGCTGGAGATTTTTATGGTGATACCTAAATTTCTTACTTGACAGATGCAACTGTCTTTCGGGCTGCAAAGGTCGACAGTAAGCTACACAAATTGGTTGGAAGCTCACTCTGACCCGGGCTGGCTTCGAACTCATGACCGTTCGGTCAGTAGTGATCTTAATGCAGCTGACTCCCAGTCAGCTGTGCCACACACGCACACATATATGCACACACAAAACACATATACACAGACTGAGCCACAGCAACGCATGGCAGGGGACAGCTAGTGCCATAATGAATTCCTCCTTTCAACCTCTCTATACGAATATAATTTTCATCTGAGGACTTCAAATACTTCTTGTATTACAATGTTTTTATTCAAGAGAAGGAAGGGAATACCATATTCAAAGGGTAAAAATCACAGTTATTTCTAGTCTTACCTCATAACATTCACAATAGTTTTTGAGGCATCCAGACCGCTTACAGTTGCAACCTTTGCTATGCCGCCTGTCTGATTCACCTTCTTTTCCCTTCCCTATTTTGGGCTTGAACGCTTCAGGGTTTCTATCAAGGCAGGCCTAAGAAGACAGAGGCAAAGAAGTGTTCAACAAAAGTAAATGATGGAAACTCAAACCCAGTTCTTTGCAGGAAGAATTAGCTGAAAGTCTTTAGTTCAACCTTTTGAAAAGATAATTATCATGCCTCTCAATACCATCCACCCTAGGAAGGATAACAAAGTATGAAAGGCTGTCAATGACATTCAGAAATACACTTTAGGATTCACCAACTAGAGTATTCTTTTTAAAAAGATATCCTACCTTGATTGCTTTTTGTCTATCATTTTCATGATCCAGGTTGTTGTAACAATTTGCACAGTTGCAGTTGTTGCAGAACTCGCCATTGGCAAAGCAATCACAATACCTATAAAGGAAAAGCCAACAATGTTTTGGAAAGAGGAGCTGGTTCTACATCACTAAATAGCAGGTAATATTTATTTATTTATTTATTTATTTACGGCATGTCTGCCCCGCCTTTCTCTACCTCGGAGGAGACTCAAGGCGGCTTACAAGTAGGCAACCATACAAAACCATAGGATATGTACAATTACAAATATATAAATAGTTATAAAATACATTAAAACAGTTTAAAAACATATAAAACAATACATTTGCAGTTAATCTCAGATCCTTAAACGTAGTCTGGCCGTTCCAGTTAGTCAATGCACATCAATTCCATATCTTTCTATTTCTCAGTTCTCCAAACGGTTGGTCACAAAGCCAAGTTTTTACTTTCTTACAGACAGTCAGGAAGGAGTGGGCTGATCTAATGTTTCTGGGGAAGGAATTCCACAGCCGGAGGGCCACCACTGAGAAGGCCCTGTCTCTCGTCCCCACCAATCACGCCTGCGAGGAAGGCAGAACCGAGAGCAGGGCCTCCCCAGATGATGTTAGACTCTGAGAAGACAACTTGCACACTGCATAACTAGAGCAAACCCAAAAGGTTGCCCCAATTCCTCCAAGCAGCTTCATAACAAGCTAATAATCATTTCAAGGGTATTTAACAGTGACTCAAGCCTTGTTTCATGAAGTAAAAATTATGGAGCCGACTTATGAAGAATAATCACTATCAAAGATCAAAGCTATAAATTTTTAGATGACAAAAATGAGACTTCTGGTCCTTCCCTTATTTATGAACCAAGAGAGGGTTTTTCTTGAAGTGAAAGAAAAAGACAGACTTTCTCTATTGGCTTTGCAGCCAAACTAGATCCCACTTGGTCCACTAGGCAGAAGTTTTGCTTACACTTCTTACTCAGTCAACCAAACTCGCCGAAGATTTGCCTCCAAGCACATCCTGACCTCAAGTGGCATATCCCATCACAAAAAGGCCTTATTCTACCATGTTCATGAGGGTTAACAGCTACTGTGCAGATTGTAGTCACATCCTCTGTTACTCAGTGAGACTAGATAACTGCCTAGAATCCGTAAGACTCAAAACCTCCACTTGTTTATCATCTTAAGAGCCAGCTCCAATATATTCACCTAATTGCTCCAGAGAAACCGAAATGTTTAACATCTGAAGTTCTCAACAGAACGGATTATACTTACAGTTTAAGACACAGTGATTTTGTACAGTTGCATGGCTTTCTGGGACGATTTGCAGATTCAGAAGAAATTACCCTGCAAAACAATAACAACGATAATAATAAATAATAAAACTTTATTTGTAACCCGCTACCATCTCCCCAAAGGGACTTGGGGCGGCTCACAGAAAGCACTCAATAGTGCAACAAAATACAAATACAACAAAATACAGAAAGGTAAAAATTAATAACAACAAAATTGATCCAACTGTACTTAAAACAGCAATAAAATCCCTCTTAATTTAAAAAGATAGTATAAAACAATAAAATGATAATGTCCTCAGGTATTTTTCTCGAAGGATAAAAAAATCAGGATGGCTATTATATAAGGGCAAAGCTGTAGAATGAGGGTGAAGAGCCTGTGGCCCTGGAAAAGTCATGTTCAACTCCACAATGCTAAAATTCCCTTCTCAGAAAACAGGACCACAATAGACAGTTGTTTCCAGAACACACTATGTGCCACAAGAGAAATACAAAACCAGATGATAAATACTTTAGGATCATTTTCCATAGGGACCACATTATCTGCTCTGGCCTTGCTCCTTGATAGCCAGTTTCTACTAAAAGACAAGTTATTTCATTTTCGACAGACATTAGGTATAACTTCAATTATTCCAAATTAAAAGACACAGAACAATAACTACTCTCTTCCTCCATCCCCAACTCCCATTGCCCTGTCTCAGAGGGAGAGAAGAAGAGGCAGGATCTACTGGAAATAATGCCTATCCTCACTGCCATCCACTTTCCTTTTGTGTTGTATCTGATTTAGATCATAAGCCTATGATTTTTTTTTTGTCGTGTCAGGAGAGACTTGAGAAACTGCAAGTCGCTTCTGGTGTGAGAGAATTGGCTATCTGCAAGGACTTTGCCCAGGGGATGCCTGGATGTTTTGATGTTTTATCATCCTTGTGGGAGGCTTCTCTCATGTCCCCACATGAGGAGCTGGAGCTGGTAGAGGGAGCTCATCCGCCTCTCCCCGGATTCGAACCTGTGACCTGTCGGTCTTCAGTCCTGAAGGCACAGGGGTTTAACCCACTGCGCCACCAGGGGCTCTGTAAGCCTATGATGAGGAATGTGGATGACAAGTGGATGGAAGCAAAAGTAGTGATAATATTTGTAATGGCTTTACAAATGATCTGTTTGAACTACATGTGTTCATGTCTGTTCATGTACCATGTCTTTGTGGTGAACTAAGCTAATGGCTAAAACGACACAAGCAGTCAACTAAGTCCTATACAAACAAAGCAAAAATATAGGAGGCAGTGCTGTGGAGAAAAAGACTTTTTGCTCCCAAAAATACACTTCAAGATTAAAATTCAAATAATGGACATAATTTCCCATGAATCTTTCCCTTCCCATTTGATTGAAATACTGTTAAAAAATAAATATAATTTTAACTCATCTGTACAATACACACCCATTAAATGGCAGTCGGGCTTGGGTCTGGATACCAGATGTCCCACTAAGACTGGCGTTGCTTGCTATGGATACATAGGATGACTGCTGCAGCTAAAAGAGCACAACATTAGTACATGACTTATTGTTTGTAGATTAGTATTTTCATAAAAAGCAACCTTAATACATGCTGCTTATTCTGTGCTCAAGAGTCAGAAAGCACTGCTTATGCCTAATTGTAGGAAGGAGCAAATATTTTGTCATCTTGGATTATATTCTCAGGTTCTCTCTCTCTCTCTCTTTCTCTCTCTCTCTCTCTCTCTATATATATATATGCTCTATGCAGTCATGCCGGCCATATGACCTTGGAGGTGTCTATGGACAACGTTGGCTCTTCGGCTTAGAAATGGAGATGAGCACCAAACCCCAGAGTCAGACATGACTGGACTTAATCTCAGGGGACTACCTTTACCTTTTTAGGAATCAATGCTATAGCCCAGCCTGGGCAAACTTCAGTCCTCCAGGTGTTTTGGACTTCAACTCCCACAATTCCTAACAGCCAAAGTTTGCCCAGGCCTGCTATAGCCAAGCAAAACTCATTCCTATCTTAGGTCACATTCCATAGACTGACAAAAAATAGCAATAATAAGAAAACCTTGAATGAAGTAATGCATTTGAATTCTGTTCTCCTTGGTTTTCTTCTCACTGATAAACCTCTTATATAATTCCTCCATAACTACATGGTTGTTTAGGATCTTTTCATTTTTGCTGCTGCTGATACTAAACCGATTTATCATGTAAACAAACCTTCAAGTCTCCCTAAGCAAATTAAATATAAGCTTCATACACTCCTCATTCATGATTTTGGTCAACACCATACCTGTGTGACGTATTGAGCCGGGAGAACTGCATATCCCACATTTCCTGCACCAGGAGCTGGGGCCAGGACAGTTCCTGGGGGAAGGTTGGTGAGGTTTGGTTGGATCTGTGGCAGTGGCGTGGCGGGCATAATGAGTCTTTGCTGGGGCTGGCTTGTGGTCACTATCTGTGAAGTTGTGTTAATTGGTTTGGGTGCCACCTGAAAGGGAACGAAAAGTTTAATGACATCGCCACTGCTGAGAAAGTGTTAAGCTTTTGAGGGAATGTCTTAAGACATTCCAGGTAACTGAAAGAAGCTGGATACGTATAAAGTAGAAGTATGCAGAACTTACTTGTTTCACTGCCTGTGTTGCTGGAACAATTGGGACCGACATCCGCACCGGGGTTGCATTCACCACCATTGGCTTAGCTGTTCAAAAGAAACTGCATGAGGCACAACATGCAACATATGATACAAACCATTTAGCTGACAAACAGCTTCTTTGGTTAGCCAGAGCAACAGGTTATTGTCCAAAACTGGGAGTCTATCTAATAGCTCTACCATGCTTCAGCTCACTATCACCAAGAAATGTTGGCTGCCTTTGATCCCACAGTGTCACAGTGTTGGAGGGAGAATGGCAAAAGAGCTATTTTGTTGACTAGGCAGAATGCCATTCTGGATCTCATTGTAGGGCCACAAAATATGTGGACTGCACTCATTTGTATTTTGATAGTACTGAAGGAATTCTAAAGTGTATTAAAATAAGAGACCTCGACAAGTTGGCCACTGTGTAGGTTCCTTCCCCAGTAAGCTCCCAGTCAAAGAAACTATGAGAAATATTATAAATTAACTAGGTATTTTTAATTACAAAAATGTAAGTCAAACACTGAAAGGGTTAAACGGATTAAATGATTCAGCAAAAGCTGCAGTTCAATATATGAAGGTGTTCTGTAACTTAGTAGCCTTCAGTCTGTGAGACGTCTCTGTGGGAGAAGTGCCTCAATGTGTTAGTAGGCCTCAGTATTAGTTCGTCTCAGTGGGAGAAAGGCCTCAATGGGAGAAGGCCTCAATAGGAGAAGGCTTCAATGGGAGAAAGGCCTCAGTGTGAAGTAGGCCTCAGTGTTAGTTTGTCTCAATGGGAGAAAGGCCTCAGTGTGAGAAGGCCTCAATGGGAGAAAGGCCTCAGTGTGAAGTAGGCCTCAGTGTTAGTAGGCTTCTGTTTGAATAGGCCTGATGTGAGAAGCTTTGATGAGAGAAGCCTCAAGTTGTGTGTGCAGCTCCAGCAGCCATCGTGCGTGAAGGTCGCTGTGTGTAAAGCTACTGTGTAACTTTGGTGTGAGAGGAGGCTCTGTGGGAGAGAAGCTATTTATCTGCATGAGAAAGGCCAGCATAGAAGCAAAGAAGTATAAAGAACTTAGTTTGCATTATGGAAACCTTGTTCTTGTAAATAGTGCAACCATATTATTTTGCTATAAAGAAAAGCCTCCTATAGAAGGGATACATTGGTCTGTGTGTTGTTGTTCTTTTTATTACTTTTGGCTACTGGTGCTGGGTCACGCTGCTGCTAATAAGTTGCTCTGCTGTACATTTATGAGGAGGGTCTTTTGTTAATAAGTCCACCCACTCAACAGAAACTACCACCTGCGGGAAACTCCAGTTCACCTACGTCATCAACTGGGTAAAATTACTCTTTAGGAAAAAAAAGTTCAGAGGTTGTTCTTTTCTGTTTCTGACTTTGATGTCTGGCTGTGGCATATATAACGGTGGCATGCATGTGAGGCCAGCAAGAACTATGAATAAAACCCACCCACATTTTGTCTGCTGGCAAGCAGTTCCAAGCAGTGCCGAATGTTCATTCTTAATGAAGAAACAGAAGCTATACTTTTATGAGAAGTTCTTTCTCTCATGACTATCTTCCCTTCTGGACCTGCATTCTTTTACTTATCTGAGAGACATTAACAAACTCAGTCTTAAAAGAAAATAAATCAACAAAGCCGCAGTTGCAAACAGCTGTAAGCAGCAAGTCCCCCACTAGCATATCCAAACTTTAAAAGATTGTTTCATATAACCTTAAGAGTCTGAAACTAATACAAAGTGAATATTTTAACCCTTAAAGAGAACTAGAAAGAATTTGCACAGCAGAGTTATTGTGTGTTTAAGCTAAACTGATGACAGAAAAACCTTGATATTTTAGACCAACTGGTCGCTTAGGGTCCTTCCACACAGCCATATAACCCAGAATATCAAGGCAGAATGACCCACAATATCTGCTTTGAACTGGAATATCTGAGTCCACACTGCCATATATCCCAGTTCAAAGCAGATAACGTGGGGTTTTATTCAGTTGTGTGGAAAGGGCCATAGAAGATTTCAAGGCCAATGGCTTTTAAAGAACTGTGAGCATTTGTGGAGCAGAAAGAAACAATCAGATTAACCCAATTTTTATCAATCAAGGATAATTAGAAAGGACTTTACAGCTGATATGAAAGAGATGTGTAACTCTTTAGAAAAGCTGACTGGGGAAGTAACTCTGAAGAACCAGAAATCAGTGAAACCCGAACATGGGGAACAAAACCAGGCAGAAATGGCAGAGAAACAACTGCACAAGCAGGAGGAATTTTTTACAAGTACCAGAAATGTATCTTTAGGAGATGATTAGCTGATGATTATTTGAAGCATTGGTATTTGAACTTCTTAAATATATTGAGTGTTACTGTTTGGTTTAATTAAGGGTACTACTATTCAGTTCACTACGTTACTTACCTTGCTGAAGGGGTGCTGTGCTGGTGCTGGGGTTCTGAGTGGCTGGTTGTGCTGAGCTGCTGGCTGTTGTGGCAGTTACAAGTCGGACATAATGAAATTTGCTTCCAGGTACCTGAATCTGCTGGACGTTGGGTGCTGTTGCCAAAGGAATTATGGTCTTAAACTGAGACGTGCTCACTCCACCTACAGTCAGGGTTTGTACTGCAGATTTCACAGCCTGTTGAAGAACAATAAAGTTCTGTTATAGAAATCTTTCCAATTTTTATTGTTGGCAAATAAATATTTCTGATTAGGGCTGGCATTGTTTACCTTCACACTTCAGATTAAAGTACAGATAGATGATATATATCAGGCATGGGCAAACTTTGGCCCTCCGGGTGTTTTGGACTTCAATTCTCACAATTCCCAACAGCCGGTATTATGAGAGTTGAAGTCCAAAACATCTGGAGGGCTGAAGTCTGCCCATGTCTGATATATATGCTTCAATTTGCCTGTTTTTTAATATGAAATACACTATAATCATACTACTAGGCAAGAAACTACATTACAGATAGCCAGTATACATATTATTTTGGATATAAGAAAACCACTGCTCTCATTAAGTTTGCAATAAACTGTTTGCTCAGCTGTATTTCATTTGAGTACACCAAAATGAAAACAGGAATAGGACAGATGCATATTCAATAATATCTGTAACAAGACACAAGCAAGATACATTAGTGCACACCTGAGCAGATGTACTGTTTGCTACAGCTTTTCCCGGGGAAGATGGTGTGGAATGCTGCACGGCCAGAATCTGCTGCCCCAAGGCAACATTTAGTGGGACACCAACTGTTTTCTGTGGGGAGCTTGGAGGTTGTGAGGCGACTGACACCACCGTTAGCTGCTTAACAAAAATGGAAGACCTCAATTAAAATACTTTGTAAGGGGCAGATCCACACAAATACAGCTCATTCAAGTTCAGAATGTATACATCAGACAAATATGCAAAATGTCCTTTAATGCCACTGTTGGGGCAGGGTTGAGGACAAAATAAGAAGGGAAGACCCCAAGAGCAGAAGTGCTGGTTTGCAACATTTTGAAGGAAGCGAAGTGGTACCTACCTATGACTCCCTGAAGAGAAGCAGCTATACGAGCATTCAGTCCAGAATCTAAAGCTACTCAACTGCATTTCTGTGTTCGTATGTCAGCATCCCCTCACTAAGAGCATGTAACACAGCCCCGTGAGCTTATTTATTTAGAGAATCCCTAAACTGCCATTCAGCACATGCTTCATGGCACAGGCATTAAGTTCACAGTAATGAACTGGAACAAGAACAGGAAACCCTGGGTTATTTAAGGCTGCAATTGTGCCTTTAGAAAGTTTTCAAAAATCCTTTTGAATTAGTATGTTACAAAAAGTTCCATGGGAGCCCCCAATGGCGCAATGGGTTAATCCAGGGATCCTCAAAGTATGGTCCGGGGGCCAGACCTGCCCCCCCGGGGGCATTTCCCAGTTTCCAGACCCCTTTTATTCTATTATTACTATTATTATTATTATTATTATTATTATTATTATTATTATCTCTATTATTGTTATTACATTTATTATTTTACTCTATTGTTGTTATTACATTTATTAATATTATTATTACATTTATTATTTTTCTCTATTGTTATTACATGTATTACTTTAACTATAGTCTGGCCCTCTAATGGTCTGAGGAACAGTGAACTGGCCCCCTGTTTAAAAAGTTTGAGGACGGCTGACCGAAAGGTTGGCGGTTCGAATCCAGGGAGCAGGGTGAGCTCCCCTCTGTCAGCTCCAGCTTCTCATGTGGGGACATGAGAGAAGCCTCCTACAGGATGGTAAAAACATCCGGGAGCCCCCTGGAAAACATCTTTGCAGAGAGAAGCGACTTGCAGTTTCTCAAGTCACTTCTGAAACACATACACAGCAAACTATAGATCCCAAATAGTGAAAGAAAACCCAGATCTCCATTTTCATTACTCCTAGAGCAGTGGTTCTCAACCTGGGGTCCCCAGATGTTTTTGGCCTTCAACTCCCAGAAATCCTAACAGCTGGTAAACTGGCTGGGATTTCTGGGAGTTGTAGGCCAAAAACATCTGGGGACCCCAGGTTGAGAACCACTGCCCTAGAGTGAAGGGAAAAAGAAAAGGAGACATAATTGAGAGCATACATTCGGGATGGTGTCAGCTTGTAAAAATACGACAAACTTACAAAAAGCTTCTCATCTGGTAACTGGTAATTGCCTTTGGGTCAACAAGCAAGGGAGTGTATGTAAACCGAAGCAAGCTCTTCCTTCCTCCCCACTCTTCTCACAGTTTCCAGACCATTGGTGGGCCATAGAAAATTAAGGCAGAATGCCAAGGACACTTATTAGCAAGTAAGCCTAACTGAACTCAAAGGAATTCACAGCCAGCCAGTGTGGGCTGATATCAGTTTTTGACAATTAGGAAGTTTTATGAATTTACATTTTGTAGATTTGGACAATTTATTGATGGAAACTACAGACAACTGCAGAAATCCTTCCCTGAATCTACAATTTGGTAATGGATCTGGGCATTGTATGTTTTTACCCTGCTTCCCCTTCCGCTCCCTCGCCCATATTGTGTTTCAGTAGTTATATTTATATTTTTAATGTACCAAACATACCAAGTTTGCATGAAAATGTGACTATTTCCTGTACTGGTCAATGACCGAAATAAATGATTTGATTTGACAAGTGTGCAAATTTCAAAACTCTGAAAACAATTTGCTTATCATATAATAATAATAATAATAATAATAATAACAACAACAACAGCAACAGCAGCAACAACAACAACAAAAACAACTTTATTCTTATATCCCGCCACCATCTCCCCGAAGGGACTCGGGGTGGCTTACAAACGGCACAAAGTGCCTAAAAACAAACATAAAAGTGAACACAATATAAAATACAATAAAATAAAACACATGCACATATAAAAACATCAATTCAGACTCAATCAAACTGCAGTCCTCTAACCGTGGCGGTAAATTACTGGCACCATATCTAAATAGTAACATACAGCATTTCTCTGTAAATTAACCTGATCCTCTAAGGTGAATTTATAATAACAATTACATCATGCTGATAAATATGGAAAGGTACAGAGCATATGTCCTTGGGATTTTGACGGACTTGCATTTAATATTAAAACAGTTCAATACTAAATATAAAAACCTAAAAGCTATCTAAAGATTGATGTAGAAAGCAATTAATTTACTACAGAAAGCAATGACATTGGCCACAGCAAATGCAATGAATAACATGAGCAGTTTCCCATGTTCATTCATTGTCTGATTCTAAAAGAGTTTATCCATTCCAATTAATTATTGTACCGTACATCTATATTTTAAGTTACAGCACTTTAAACAACAGGATATAGTTACACTAGGAAATCAAATCACCCTTCCCTATTCCACTCCAGGTATTTTTGCCAATCCAGTGAGCTTTGGCAATATTATGAGAATTCCAGTTTCATTACAAGAAATATAAACATTGTCTAAACATCAGCCTCACTGCTGTATATATCAGAAAAAAGATGGTGGTTTTAAAATGTGTTCAAGCAGAGGCTTGGATTAATGGTCATTCAAATCTTGTTGATTCTAAGTCCAAATAGATTGATATTCTAACATGGACCAAGAATAAGATGATTTTAATCTTTAGTGTGCTGTAACACACTAAGCAGAAGTTAATATTAATTTATTTATTTACTATATTTGTATACTGCTCTTCTCAGCCCTCGGGCGACTCAGAGCAGTTAACAATAGCAAAATTCAATGCTCAACAACATCATAAAACAGTTAAAAACAATTAAAACAGTAGCATAATAAACAGTCAATATAAACCAATAAAAAAATCTCATTAGTGTCTCATAGTTAAAATCAAGATCCAGTCTCATCATCCAATTGTTCCATATTCTTATGTTCATTACACTGCCTATTTAAATGCCTACTCGAACAACCAGGTCTTCACTTTCCTCCAAAATGTCAACAGAGAGGGGGCCGATCTAATATCTGTAGGAACGGCATTCTACAGCTGAGGGGCCACCACTGAGAAGGCCCTGTCTCTCATCCCCGCCAAACTTACTTGTGACGCAGGCGGACCGAGAGCAGGGCCTCCTCAGATGATCTTAACACCCTAGCTGGTTCATAGGAGGAGATGTGTCCGGACAGGTAAGTTGGGCCAGAAACATTTAGACTTTATAGGCTAAAGCCAGCACTTTGAATTGTGCCTGGTAGCAAACTGGCAGCCAATAGAACTGGCACAACAGAGAAGTTGTATGCTCCCTGAGCGCCGCTCCCATTAGTATCCTGGCTGCCGACCTTTGGACCATTTGAAGCTTCCGGACAGTCTTCAAAAGCAACCCTACATAGAGAGCGTTGCAGTAGTCTATACGGGATGTAACCAGAGCGTGGACCACCGTGGCCAAGTCAATGGTATACGTTTGCCAGTTACAATCATTTCAGACTAGCACTGGAATCAATGTAAGTGTGTATGAAAAAGTTATGTAATTTTGCATTATTCATTAACACAGAAGGAATAAAAATACCTAAGATTGTTTACCTTGTTGGGGGATTTCAAGGGAGAAATGGCTATCTTGTTTGGTGCCTGCTGTATAGAAGAACTTATAGAAGTCCCAATAACTCCACTTTCTGAGATAGTTACAGTCTTTGGGGGTGTCCCCGGAGTAGTGTGAGAAAGAACTCTACCTGTAAGGACAATGACAAGAGAGACATTGTGTTGTCAAAAGCTTTGATGGCTGGAATCATTGGGATGATGTGAGCTTTCCAGGCTGTACGGCTATGTTCCAGAAGCATTCTCTCCTGATGTTTTAGGAAGCAGCCAAGCCTTGAAGCTGCAAGGCTATTCAATGCTAATCAAGGTCGTCAACTGCAACATTCACACTTGCCTCAAACAGACAAGAGTTCTTTCCTCCACCCTGGACATTTCACAGATAAATAAACCTCACTTGCCTGGTTTCCAACAGACCCCACAACCTCTGAGGATGCCTGCCATAGATGTGGGTGAAATGTCAGGAGAGAATTCTTCTGGAACATGGCCATACAGACCGAAAAACCCTCAGCAACCAAGAGAGACATTATTGTTACAGTGGCTATCATTTTTCCAACCTAACTTACAAGTCAGGAATATTAAGCAGCTTGTCAATTCACTGTTCCCTTCTCTTGTGTACGTTAACAGACATGTCATGGAATTTCTGATTGAATCTAGTAGTAACCATTAAGATATCATCTTCCCAAACCTAAACTGCCTAAACAGCCATGAATTCAAAGCTCCTCACCATGCTGCTGCATCCTGACACTATACAAGTTAAGATAACACTTTGTAGGCAATACTGGGTGACTTACTGCTCCATTTTCCTCCTTGTTCCCTGTTCTATTTTCACTGAAAGTACATCTGTAAATATACAAGATCGGCACATCAAATTTTACTCTGGAGTTCAAGGGTAGCTTATTCACAGGGATCTGGAAAGCCGTAATAGGAAGGAATAATGCCCTTGAAAAGCCCCCAGGATGATCCAGCTACATCTCCAACTCAACTGACAATAACACCCTTGAAAAACAGCACCATGCTAAAATATATAAATATATATAAAAACCTGCAATGATCGGTGACACTTGGGTCGTCTGTCCTGTAACTGCTTTGCTATTGATGGGTTTTGTGAAGATCAACTTTGTTATTACTGGGGCTGAGGTTGGTGTCCTAGTTTTCTTAGCAATCTGAGGAAAAGAAAGAAAAATCAAATAACAAAGACATTCCTTTACAGTTTTTTTCTTGAGCACTGATACTAAAGCCCTCTTTAGATTGGGTATAATTTTGCAGTTTAATTTTGAGAAAATGGAGAAAAGGGGAAAAACAGAAACAGAGGCAAATGTATAGAAATCAATGTGACATTCTTGAATTCATGTGAAAAAAGCAGCTGATCAACAAAGTGAACATACATTACAAACTGTTCTACGCCTGTCAAATTTCATTGTGTCTTAGGATGCAGGGGGTGATTTAAGTTCACAGCAATTTCTGATGTGATATGAATAGCAAAGTACCCCTAGGGGAGCCAAAATGCAAATCTAACCATTTATGTTTGAAATAGCATCCACTAATAATCCAACCGTTTGGTGAGAATCAATCTATCTGCTGTTTAAAAATGCAGCTACTTCTATATTGTTGTGCTGGCAAAATCTACCACAATATTAAAAAATAGTTGACAAATGTCTATCTCCATGACAACTACTACACCTAAGAATGGTTTCTTATATTTAAATATATTCCTTCCTAATTGTTTTCAGCTTTACAAGAACTATTACTCTCATTCTGCACTGCATCCCAATCAACAAATCTCAACGCAGTTCCAAATTATTTCTAGTCGTCACTAGCAATGCTGATCTTTTCATGACTTTTGGGAGACATCATTGAACACAGTTCTGGTACTACCTATTTATTTGTTATGTGCCTAAGTAAAGGTAAAGGTTTGCCCTGACATTAAGTCTAGTTTGTGTCTGACTCTGGGGGGGGGGAAGGTGTTCATCGATATTTCTAAGCCAAAGAGCCGGCATTGTCCATAGCCACCTCCAAGGTCAGGTGGCCGGCATGACTGCATTGAGTGCAGTTATCTTCCTGCAGAAGCGGTACTTACTGATCTATTTACATTTGCATGTTTTTGAACTGCTAGGTTGGCAGAAGCTGGGACTAACAGTGGGAGCTCACTCCACTTTCTGGATTCGAACCTCCAACCTTTCAGTCAGCAAGTTCATCCGCTGCACCGCCAGGGAGCCTGTTATGTGCCTAACCCAGTCCATAACAGCACATCTCAGAACAGGACACAATCAACACAACAATTCAATAAAAGACCATAGACAATTAAACTGGACGTTATAAACATCATCAATACAGGCTGACCATCACCTGTCTGAAACACTTGGTGTTTTGGATTTTGGATTTTTCATATTTTGGAAAATTTATATTTACATATACGTATATAAGGAGATATATTGGAGATGGGCCCAAAGTCTAAATACAGATTTCATTTATATTCATAGCCTAGGAATCTGAGAATCCAAGAATCAGGGTGAGCTCCCGCTGTTACCCCCAGCTTCTGCCAACTTAGCAGTTTGAAAATATGCGAATGTGAGTAGATCAATAGGTACCACTCTGGTGCGAAGGTAACAGCGCTCCATGCAGTCATGGGGATGAGCACCACCCCCCAGAGTTGGACACGACTAGACATAATGACAAGGGGAAACATTTACTTTATATCTTCTTGATATTCAGTGGCCTCTTATCTGCCTGACGTTGATCTAAGTACAACAAAAGGGAGCTCCCATTAAGAGAACAATTTTATCACAAAGCAGATAATTAACATAACCTTTTCTTACCTGCACTGCTTTAAGTTGTTGTGTCTGCAATACAGAGGACTGGGTGGTAGTATTTACTAGCTGGCTCCCTGGAGTCAAAGTTGACATGCCAAGGATAGGCTGCACCTCTGCCCGTCCTCCGATCGTTACCACCTTGAACTGCTGTGCAGGGACCTTTGAGTCGCCTGTTTGCACCTGTGACGTAGCTTTTTGAGACTGTGACAGCTGACTGTGGGGCAGAGCGACAACAATTGGTTGCCCAGGCTTCCCCAAAGTTGTTAAAATGAGCTTTTGTCCATCCTGTTTTATAGTCTGTTTGCCAATTTTCAAGTCCGTTGCCTTGTTTAAGATGATCTGATTGGCGGATATAGTGACGGGTGTCTGTGTACCCAGTTTTTGGAGGCCACTTTGAAAGGGAGGTTGCACACTCACACCCGTTTCGGTTTTTGCAACAGGAGCATTGCCAGTGACAAGGCTCACACAGTTGCTGGGAACCGTGACAATCTCGGTCGCGAGGGACGATGTAGCAGCCGTAGTAGAATCACCAACTAAGGTTACATTTGTCATTCCTTCCAGTTCCATTTCCATAGGAATACTCTCACCCACAATTACAGCCTCAATGTTCTCATCATCTTCCGGGGTTATACTCGTGTCCATGATTTCTTCAGGTAGCAAGCTGTTAACTTCTGCTGACACCACCTCCATGTTGTTGGTGTTGATGGCAGGTCACAGATGATTCACTGCAGTGTCAATTCAAAAGAAATTCTAGTTTTCTGCTCCAAAATAGTATGTAAATAAGAGTCATGCATATGGTAGAACAGTATATAAAACTGAACATGTATATGGAGCAGTTATGGCTACAAAAGGTGCTCCCAAACTCAGTACTATGGATGACTAATAGGGACTTTCATTGAGAATACTGAGGACATGAAATCAGCCATGGATAAGTAACAAAGGGAAAATCAAGAAGTTCCTGATTCAAATTTCATAAAATGATATCACCTCCTTTGCATCCGGATTGCATTGTGATTCATGTCTGGCAGAGATATAACATTTGATGGAATTTCAAGGCAGTATCCTTATATCTGTTTGATGTTTAGGTTGCATTTTTCATTTAATTTTTCGTGTTAAGTTATAATTTGCTGGGTTGTCAATTTTCCTTATTATGGATGTATTGTTATTATGTTCAGGCATTAAATGTTTGCCTTTTTATGTTTGGAATCCGTCCCTAGTCCCTCTGGGGAGATAGAGAAGAATATAAATAAAGATTTATTATTATTATTATTATTATTATTATTATTATATATAATAATATATATCTAACTATAGTGTGAAGGCTGAAAAAGTGATCACATTGCACCCGAGCATAAGGACATTCCTTTTAAGGAACTCCCTCTACAAATACCCTCTCATGGCTTTTTTAAAGTTTTGTATGAAGAGGTGGTGGAGAAAGTAACATAAAGACCCCATAGGATACATCTCATTCATAAAACCCAAGGTACCCTGTTATACTAACATGGGTACTGTAATGACAGTTAACAGCAATGAAATGATAAAAAAGATGCCAGGAGTTCAACTTGTACAAGCAAGTAGAAATAACTAATTATGAGATTTAGGGAGAACAGAATATTCTGTGTTTTCGCACTCACTTGGGAGCATTTCAGGAAATATTTAGTACAAGTAACTCTAGATTAGACACTATCTGGCCTTTGCAGCTGTTACTATGACACATGAAATTCTGAAATACACAAAAAACAACCGTTGTATGTACTCTCCGTACCTGAAATCCTTTTAAATTATATTCCACGTCAGACCACCTCCAGCAGCATCATAGTACAGCACCATCTGTTGAGACAAAAGAAGATGAGGAAATGTCAGAAGTGACAGAAAGCTTCTCTTTATAAATCCAGCCATGAACATCAACAACAAATGCTGCAGCCTGAGGATTGTTGTTGCTACCTTTGCTGTGCATATTCGTAGCGTGTGTGAAACACCCCTTTCACAAAGGTGAGTTTCAAAGCCCCTCACCAAAGCCAACTTTTCAAGAACATATAACTATGCCAAGACATACGTCATTAAAGGCAGAAAAAATCTATTTCATTAGCTATTACAAAAACACAGTATGGAAGTACAAACTGCAGTAGCCATCCAAGTTAACAGACCACTTTAATTAACCATTTAAGAACAACCTGGGGACACTGATTTTGAAGCAACTGGTAATATCATTTTTCTATTGAAAAATAGCTGTAGAAACAGAATGAAAAGAACAACCCAATTTTTTGATATAGCTTTAGTATCTGCAAAATTTCACTAATCAGAAATGTAATTTGAGTACAACTGAGATCGCTATCTTGGAAGAAACTCTTACATGCATATTGGAAATATGTTTTATATTTTTTAAAGCTATTATTTATTTATTTATTTATTCGTGTATTTACAGTTTTTATATACCACTTTTCTCACCCTGGGGGACTCAAAGTGGTTTACACTATAACAGCAAGGGAAAAATTCAGGAGCAAAGACATTGACTAACAGTAAATACATGAGCTAATAATTAGAATAATTGGAAAAAAATTGTGGGAAGTTACCTCCATCACAATTTTGTCAGATGATTCAAGACTGCCTGGTAAGCATGCATTAAAATATGTTGTACAGTTTACTCTTACACATAACATAATTATTTTATAGGATTTACAAAAGAATTACTAGCCTTCTGAAGGACTTAATTACCTTCTTGTCTGCATGCATCATGAGCTGGGAACATTTACTGACCATAAAGAGCAATGTCTTAAAAAGAGACTCATACAGAGGCACAAAAGGCAGCCTCCACGAAGAGCAAGGAATTGTTTTGCAAACTCACCTAATGCAGGCGTGCAACAAAATTGTGTCCCCAAGCAAAAGTTTAATTACACAGAGATAGGGTACTTCGATAACCTTGATGTTTCCTAATCTATGATTATTTTTTTTTCACAGTAGCAGACTGCTTGAATTACATTAGCATATCTTAGCACACTGTTTGGAAACTACTAACATAGAATGATAGGGTCAGGTCAGCATAAAGATGTGAGAAGACCGTCTGGTATAAATACAATTTTTGTTACAGCAAGAAGAGTTGAGACGATGGGCCTTGTCTCTTCTTGTTTTGATCTAATTCACCAGCATCTTTATGTATAAAACTAATGCTGGAGATGAGAACAGAACATAGCTCTTCAAAACCGCGTAGGTACCTAAACAGACCACAGCAAGGCTATTCATGTAAAATTCCCATGCATAATTAAAGGATTAGCACATTAGAAAAAGCAGTCAATGTATTCTAATGCACTAATGAAATACTGAGGGTTTTGTTCATTACAAAGCTTCTTTATGGTTCAGTTTATACCACTTTAGGACTAATAACCAGAACAGACCACAGATAAGCAGAGCTTATTCATCCATGAGGCACAAATAGGAGGACGGAGTGGATTTCCCATGATTATACTCAGATGAGTTCAAAACAACACTGTTCCCCACTCCCCAAGATACAGAAGACATGGTTCAGACTGAAAAACTATGGTGATTTAAGTTTTCCCTTTCTTTTGTCACAGATCCAAAGACTGTTCTAAGTAAGTCCATGTCCTTCTGGCCCTCAAACCCAGTGTCAAGGTGATACAAAATGCAATCTGTCCAGGATATAGTTTTCACATAGTTCAAAACAGCTACCACTGTCTACAACAGAGAGTAAAGAATCAAGGACATCTAATCACCTCTCAACAAAAGATTTCCCCAGGCACTGCCAGTCCATCAAATGCTAATCAAGGTGGTCAGTTGAAACATTCACACCTACCTTCAACAGTCAAGAGTTCTTTGTCCCACCCTGGTCATTCCACAGATATATAAACCCATTTTCCTAGTTCCAAAAGACCTCACTACCTCTGAGGATGCTTGCCATAGATGCAGGCGCAACGTCAGGAGAGAATGCCTCTAAAACATGGCCATATAGCCCAAAAAAACCTACAACAACCCAGTGATTCCGGCCATGAAAGCCTTCGACAATACAGATCTGACAAATATTTGCCCTTTAAATGCTACAGGAAGTTGGACAATTCTATTTCTCTGAAGCTACCTGAGCTGCAGGTGCCTAATAAATAGAAATATGCAGAATGTAGTAGAGAAAAGAAACCAACAAGATGTGGACATGATGATGGAGACAGAAAACAAATGAGACAGTTGAAGATACATGAAGAAAGGAGGAAGAGACAGGGACAGCTGCCAAAAAGATGTACATAGCATGGAGGAAATAGAACCATCTTTTAAAGCTAATATTTTTAAAATCCTATTTCAAGATTTTAAAAAATATTTTTAACAATATTTGGCTGTTTTGGGGGAAAGCACTTTTCAATTTATTTATTTATCGTGACTGAAGCAAGTTGAGGGTACAGTTAGAATGCATTTAAAAACACAAAATTAAAAAAAACTTGGCATTATGCTAAATGTCCTTTGACCAGAAGCTGGCCTCTGGTGTCGCTGTGAGAAGATCCTCCATTGTGCATGTGGCAGGGCTCGGGTTGCATTGTAGTAGGTGGTCTGTGGTTTACTCTTCTCCACACTCAGATGTCACGGACCCCACTTTGAAGCCCCATTTCTTAAGGTTAGCTCGGTATCTCGTGGTGGCAGAGCACAGCCTGTTCAGCGCCTTCCAGGTCACCCAATCTTCTGTGTGCCCAGGAGGAAGTTTCTCATCCATTCTCAGCCACTATGTAATGTACTTGGTTTTAACCTGCCACTTTTGGATTCTCGCTTTCTGAGGTGTTCCTGCAAGTATCTTTCTCAATCTTAGGAAGCTGTTTCTTGATCTAAGCTGTTGGCATGCTGGCTGATATCCGAACAGAGGATAGGCCAGAGATGCCACTGCCTTCATCCCTTCATTATTGGCTGCTTCTTCCCAACGGATGTCAGGTGGTGCAATACCGGCTAAACAGTATAATTTCTCCAGTGGTATGGGGTGTAGACATCCTGTGATAATGCAGAATGTCTCATTAAGAGCTACATCTACTGTTTTAACTTTTCAATGAACCACTTAGTTATACAAATGTGTTTATAAATATAATTATTACACATTAATTCTATTTACCAATAAAATGTTTATTTTTCTGATGCAATGAATGCTTTGCTGCAATGAATGCTTTGAAAATATTAGATCAACCAGCTAAACATTTTTTAAAAAAATCATTAGCTTCCAAAACACTATGCTAAGTAGGGAGCAGGTAAATCACTTGCAGAATCAGGTAAAAAAGTAGTCATAGTAAAGTTTATGGCATTGAAGATTACCATTTCAAAAATACATTTTCAATTTGATAAAATAGCTTATTTTAGAACAATATTTCTATATTTTGAAAACTTTAAAAATACAATTACATAAATCAGGCTTATCAATAAGCCACTGACTATGTTTAAATTTCTCAGAGATGGCAAATTTCCATCTATACCACCAAGCTAAGAATAAAACTAATGGCAGCTACAGAGTTGCACACAGTACATTGCAGCATAATCCCTCAAATTACTAGGATTCATTTGTAGAGAAAAGAGATTGATATTGCTAGATTTCAACTGGCAAGGGGCAATTTGCCACAGACAACAGATGGCGGGCCTTAGTGTTAATAAAAGGGTATTTAAATTCAGTGTGAAAGTCTTGTACAAAAGAACTATGTAGAGCTGACTGGGAAAACAGAAACATACTAATGCACACTATAGGGACACATATGAACCTAAACTCATTCAACAATCATTCTTCCAAGGTAGAACACAACAATTCTCAATTTCTTCCGTGGGCTACACTGCTTAAAATTTAATACTGTCCTATTTCTATACAGTATGTTTCAAATGTTCTGCAGTAATAGCAATGGAGGAGTTACAAACATAATCTTCACACAGGCAGACAATTCCCCAGGGTCATGCTTTGTTGCAAGATTCACACTGAACTAGACTGCATTTTATGACACTATCATATATAGAGTTGTAAATAATGTTCCTGACTTCCAGCCACTTGTCATATACAAGAAACAAAGTAGCTGCGCTGGCCATGCAGCAAAATATACCGGTAACAAAATCCAAAATCTACAAAACAGCAATCGTTTTATTGAGTCAACTACAATACACAAAATAAATCAAACCAAGCTTTCAAAGCTTCAGTGGCTTTTACATCAATGAAAAAGGTTAAAATCATACTGGAGAAGTTAAAGTTAATTATTTATTTTGTCAGGAGAACTGTAAAAATGTGCAAAATTTTATCTGTTCATTGTATGTATTTGGGTTATGTATGTATAAGTAAGTTTGTATCTTTAATTGCTGAAATGCTTGTGATGTGGTTTTGGTTAATTGGGTGCAGGTGGATCTAATTACTGTGGTTATAATGTGTTGCATCTGCCTGCAGCCAGCAGCAGCCTTCAGCAGCTTTCAGCGTCCCTCAGCGTTCTGCTATTGCTATAGCCTTGAGCTTTTGGAGAAGCTATGGCGTTTTGGAGTTTGGGACTCTAAATGTTTTGTTTAGGGTCTGATATCTGATGCAAGATGTTTGTTTTCTTACTTTTGATGTTTTCCACTATGAATTTATAATAAAGCAAGACTCTGCTGACAGGTTATGGGCCCAGAAACGCTGCATAATGCGCATGTCTGAGGTAAATATGTGGTGGAACATTAAGAAGTTTTTGAAGGCATTTTTTTGTTGGAATCTTCTGTTCCTGGCTGTTTTGATGAGCAGTGAGGTTTAAAGTGATGGCTTGCTGCTGTACACTAAACCTTGGAGGATTTGCCTTCAGAGAAATCAAGAAGATTTATGGCTTGCTATGTTGGAGAATTTGCCTTCTACG